AGTCCTACCTGTGGACCTGCAGGTTGTTTCCATTTAGAGCTTCATCATCTTGCTCTGAAACCAAAATTTATACCTGAGCTGTTCATGTTCTAGATGGATGGAAGGTGGCTTGTAGCGGGTATTGCAGTACCTGTTGATAGCAATTACAAAGCTAAGATGAGCCAAAAGGAACAAGCAACTAGCAGCTTCCTGGAAATGGAGTGGAGTAGGAAGTACAATAGTTGACTTTTAAAAGTAGTGGAGTGAAAGTCATTAGAACCCCCCCAAAAATTACGCAAGAAAAGATACTCAGAAAAGTACTTATGTACAGTAATCAATTAAATGTACTTTGTTACTTTCCACCACTGGCAGAGATATAATTTATTGGATATTAAATAGTTGATCTTTTGTGTCTAAAGCAAAAGTAGATTCTTATTCTTTTTTTTTTTACTTGAGATGAAGCCAGCAACTAATGGAGGTGTCAGTCAATAAATCCGTACCATTGGTAGGGCAACAAACACTTTGGATGGAAATTACTTAAATTTAATACGGATCAGTGTTGAATTGATCTCACAGTGGTATATAGCGCATGCATTTTTAAGCCCAGTGGTGTGTGGCAATGTCAGGCATAGGCCATTCCTTCACAGCTGATTGTACTAGACAGTCAGAGCAGTTCCACCACGTGCATCATGGTGCTTTTCTGCACTTTCTCTGGTGAGCTGGCCACTGTCTGCTTCTCTAATATATTTTCCCACTTCCCACACCATCATCATTAAGGTAGGAAATCAGTTGAAGAACAAAGTAGTTCTGATCAAGATTACAAGTATAAGACTTCATGTGCAGACTTACCATTTTCTGGACTTGTGTTTTAAAAATTCATACAGTAAATCGACAGTCACGATGCATACGAGTTTAAAGGCATTTTATTTTGTTGGTACTTGGAAGACCATGTCCAGTTTACCTCAAAAACAGTGGGCCACATTTCATGGATGTCTGCAACTCAGCTACAAGCGGCACAAGATGACTTCTGTTGTTAGTCTCATCTGTAGTATGTGTTTCATAGGTCCAAAGTTCTAACAGAGGGTTTAAATGAAATTGTGCTGTTTTTCTATTGAGGTGGTTTGTTTTCACATTGTCTTTAAGTTAGAAACATGCATATCTGACTGTGAAAGGCAGTTAATGCTACTAGCTATACCTTTAAGAAGAGAGTAGATCATATCTTCTAAGAGCAGTGGAGGATTTATTTAAAAATTATGTTCATTTAAACTATTATATACAAATTTATATCTTATAAAATATTAACTGGTCATACTATCTGTACCAGAGGCGGGGTCCACCCTAGACAGGTCTCCAGTCCATCGCAGCTCCCATCCCTGCATCATCCCTGCATCAGAGCACTACCTGCTCGATCTGTGAATGTTTTCCAGGCTTGCAACAAAACTAGCAGCATTAGTGGAGTTTGGAAATGTAATCAACTTCTTATATCTATCTTTCCTCTCATCTAATGTATCCAGATGTTCTGCAATTGCACTTCTCTCACCTCTAACTTGGTGGTCGGCTGCATATGTATCATGCCTTTGCTGGAAATGCCTTTACAAACTAATCTTTTTATTTTTTGCGACAACCTCTCTTTACAAAGGAAAAATGGAGGCAATCCTTCCGTATTGAAAATGAGAGCAAAGGATTTGCTCCATTCTTCTTTGAATCCCCTGTTCTCATCAGCTATCTTTTTTTCCATTTGGGATCCATGCCCCAAGACACACCCACAGCTTTGTTAGCCTGGCACTGTGCCGCGCTCAAACGTGTGTTACAGGCTATGGCCACTGATCTCTATGGCTATGACGCATTGTTTTTGTTGAAAGACATGTTTACATTCATTATTGTAATTTCTTTAATATACAAATGGTTACAGCATTGGAAAACATAATGAATGTTTGTTTGACCTCCTGCACACCATATTAAAATAAACAAAAAAAACATAAATTTTCATAAATTAAAAAAAATAAATAAACATGAAAAATAAACGGAAGTAAAGACTGCAACTCCTACAGTAACAAACTACCAAATTGAACTGCCGAGTGAACCAAGACCAAAGGTCTAAAGGATCATCATTAAGTCTGATTCACTTGACCAAACTTAATTTGGAAAAATAAAATACAAAAACTTTAAAATCTTGGCCCAACTAACATCTCTAAATGATGAAACTTTACAATGCAAGGAACTTTTTAAAGTCCTTAGATAAAAGAAAATTGTGGCTGAGTTCTGCATACTATTGTTCCACTAAAGAAGGATCCAATTTTCCACTATGGAATCTAGATTGAAGTCTGTTTTTGGTCTGTTGAAGACTATGATGGGAGCAGGTTTTTATTATTGCTCAGACAGAGGACAGATTGGTGTCCCAAAAAAAGTTAGCAAAAACAAACTAACAAACAAACAAAACAAAAAAATCAGCATGAAAGCAAAACATAATCCCTGTTGAGTACCTCTGATACTCTGCTTGAGTTGGATTTGGAAGAAAATCTGCAGTTTCAGTAGGGCAGCCCCACTTTGTTGGTAATGAAGTATTTCAGTGATTATAAAATGTCTTCATAGATGGAGAAAGAGGAGCAAACCCCAGCATGGAGAAAGACCTGGAACTGGAGTTGGACCGTTGACAGTCAATCAGAGCAACTGTGCAACAGGTAAGACTGAACATGTTGTCCCAATAAGAGGGACAGAAACAGAAAACCAGATTTCCACTGATAACAGAACACTCATTTCAGGATATGTATTTGCATTTACAACATGTAATCATTCTCACAAGCTGTTGTTTATTTTGATTTAAGGGCCAAATAAGTCTCATGTCACTTACAGTCTGTGATTATTATTGAAACACATCCAATCCAGGCTCCAAATAAGTAATGCAAAGTAAAACTAGCTGCTCCAATTAGCTATTTTTCTAGCAGATCATAACATTTACTTTAAACTTCTTTCATCAACCCTGTAAAATGCTTAGGAAGTATTTTTCTTTCTCTCCACCTCTTATGGAGCTGTTGTGTAGGTTGGAGAAGGTATCATACAACCAGTGAAATGAGGACAGTGGCCACATGGTGTTAGAGTTAATGTTGCTGAAAGCTACTGCATGTTGTCGTGGGAAAAAAGTATTCAACCATGCACCCTAGTTAAATAAACGGAGATCGATGGATTTCACTCAGTCGGCACATTTATTCATATCTTTGCAAAGAGAGAACAGTCATCATGAGGCCGTTATGGCACAGCATTCTGCTCTGTTCTGCTAGAGCAGGGTTCGTCCTCCCTTACTTAGAGCACTGCAAAAGTAGTCAAAGTCAAAACAAATTACAAACACTTTGGTTAATAGTAACATGTTATGAAACCTTGAGAAAGAATCTAGTTTGTTATGGGAAGAAGCTATGTCTGGTCTACAAACACCAGCCTGCAGAGAATTGTGTGGCCTTGAGAGAGAAACAGACTGAGTGAAAACTTTTATAGTGAGTAAATAGGATAAATTAATGTATAATAGAAGAGAGAGAATTTTCCGACAACAGTCCACCCTTTCGATTATAAAAGGATATTATCCTTGTGTAATTGATATTATATAAAAAAGGAAAATTTATGAATATAAAAAAAACTAAGAAACTAAAATTGTGAATAAAGCTAAAAAAATAAGAAACAAAAATTAAAAATAATAAAAAAAAAAAACATATATTTATATATCAAAAATGCACAACTGCATTAAGTCAGTGGACAATGTTAAATGATTATAATAGATGGAAAAATTATGGAAAAGATTATGATAGCTAAAATATGTTGCCAATAAAATGAGCCCTGGAATCACATCCTAGGTGGCAAAAATATTTACTGTTTTTCCCATTATGATACCTTTATGGTAAAATATCTATTTGCTGAAAATGTAAATTTTTAGTTCTTATCATTATCAGTTACCCTTTTTGTTTCCCTGGAAAGAGAAAAGTACAAATCAGTCAAAACAATAGACCTCTTCATCTCTACAAAGTGTAAGTCAAATTATTAATCTGAGCTTCATTAAAAGAAAAAAAAAGCAATCTCTATGCAAAATGTTAAAATCATAACACAAAGATGTTTCACGCAGATGACGAGTTCAGCTCTTCAGAATCAGGGTCAGTCAAAGCACACATTGAAAAGTTGGAGGATTTAATCTCAGCGCTCCTCTTTCACAATGGTAGCTGAGATGACCCGATCAGAGTTCATTCTCTAATCCAGAAATCTCTGCCAATACTGACCATCAGCCATCAGGTGGTCATCTAACACTTGGACTTTCTTTAGTATCCAGGAACTAATATCAAACACTCAGATACAAAAAATGTTAATCTTTCATTAAAATTCAACACATTACAACATGTTTCCCTTCTCATTCATGTTGTATAATTAAAAAAAGCCAAAGCAGATGTCAGACATCTTCAGGTGGGTGTCTTCATCTTTCTGTTGATGTTGGTCCCTTGTACAGGCGACATTTTGAACGTGGTTCAAGAAGACACCTGGTTCAAGAAGACACAACCCAAGGAAAAGCAAGATGCTCCCTGTGAGATCTGGACTTGGGGATTTTTGGTGCTACCACTTTTCCTATCTTTTTTTTTTTGGGGGGGGGGGGGTGACGTTTGGATTTTTCATTTTGAAATGGGACTTTGGACTTAAACACTTCCAGGACTTTATTTTGAGTTCAAAATATATTGAACTCCTTTCTGGACATTATTATTAAAAATAAAAAGAACAGGCAATTTTGGACTTTCAGTTAATATGTCATGTTTGCTTTCAGGGATCTAACCCACATGCAGAACACTCAGAGGCTGGGAAAAAGTTCACAAAGTTTATTGAAGATAAATCACAATAAAGAACAACGATTTCTGGGATAACTGGGTCCGGGTCAGGTCATGACTGGTTTTCACTGCAGAGAGGGACAGATCGGTTAGCAGTCTTTCAGTGAACTTGCAGGTTGGGTGTTTGAAGGTCTATACCTGATCAGAGATGAGCAGAGCGGTAGAAGGGGGGAACCAGGAGGGTCCAGAGGCTGAAGGCAGGCAGAGGGCTAGGCAGAGGCAGGGCAGAGCAGATAATCTTACTGAGCAGGTTCAGAGCTTCTCCCTCAGCTCTTGCTGAAAGCGGGCAGGCAGGTTTCAGACTGAGTTGGATTTCCAGGGTTCTTCTGAGAACAGACAGCTTGGTTTCAAGCTTGAGAAACCCTTCCAGGTCTTCAAGTTTCCAGGCAGATTCTTCCTGAGAAGCAGAATGGACAAAAAGCAGATTAGGTTCAGGTTCAGGCTTCAGGGGAGTCAGAGATTCAGACAGGCAGGTTGGCTCAGGTTCGCTAACCATAACTGGCAAACACTTTGGCGTTGGATTGTAGCTCTGCCCCTCCTTAAATGCTGGTCTCCTGATGAGCTCAAGAGCCGCAGGTGTGGTGGTTAGCTTCAGCTCCAGGAGACCTAGAACGCCCTCTCCTGGAGAAAGGTGGACAGACCTCCAGATCCCAACATAATAGGGTTTTTTTGCTGATAGAAATTCAGAGTTTTGAGTCTAACTTATAAATAGGTTATGAAGAACTTTTGATTTTTGATCTGCTTATACCAAATTACTATAGAATGAACTATTGATTCTTTGTAGTGTTGTGATTCTTTTTAAATAAATCATTATTGCAAAAAATCAAAACATGTCTTACTAAGTGGTTGGATATTTTTACTTTTGAATCAAATTAATAATGTAACATATTTTACCTGATTCCTGTGACAGAATCCCCCTTGAGTATTTTCTGAATTCCGCTTTTAATCAACCTGAATTTTACAATTTTTTTAAATCTTTTCTTTGTTGTTTCCACAGATGTCGTTCTGCAGGGGGTTCTAAAGGAACATAAGATCAGCCTGAGAGAGAAATGTGATTTCGTGACCGAAGGAAATTATGATAGGGGAACTAGAACCCCCCTCAACAGGATCTACACTGACCTCTATATCACAGAAAACAATGAAGAGAGTAATACCCAACATGGGGGGAAATGGCAGGATAGAGATTCTAAGGTCCAGAACCTCCATGGTTCTCCTATCAGGGGCCATGACATATTCAAAGCCTTACCTGACCAACATGGACCGACCAGAGTGGTTCTGACCAACGGTGTTGCCGGTATTGGAAAAACCTTCCTAGTACAGAAGTTCACTCTGGAATGGGCAGAGGGCTTGGAGAACCAAGATATTGATGTGGTGGTTCCCCTTTCCTTCAGGGAGTTGAACCTGATCAGAGATCGGCAGCACAGTCTTCTAACGCTGCTCCATGCTTTCTGTCCAACCCTCAAGAAGTTTCCAGCAGAGAAGCTGGCTGTCTGGAAACTACTCTTCATCTTTGATGGCCTGGATGAAAGTAGGTTGTCTTTGGACTTCAACAGTAGTCAGGCTGTTTCTGATGTCACACAGAAGTCATCACTAAACGTTCTATTAACAAACCTCATCAAGGGGAACCTGCTTCCCTCGGCTCTTGTCTGGATAACTTCCAGACCTGCGGCTGCCAGTCAGATTCCTTCATCTTGTGTTGCCAGAGTAACAGAAGTAAGAGGTTTTGCCGACACCAAGAAGGAAGAGTACTTCAGGAAGAGGTTCAGTGATGAAGAGATATCCAGTAGAATCATCTCCCATATCAAGACCTCCAACAGTCTCCACATCATGTGTCGAATCCCAGTCTTTTGTTGGATCACTGCTACGGTTCTGGAGAACCTGCTGACCACAGAGCACAGAGGGGAACTGCCCAAGACCATGACTGACATGTACTCTTACTTCCTGCTGGTCCAGACCAGGCAGAAGAAGAACAAGTACCATGAAGGACATGAAACGAGTCCAGAAGAGCTGATGGAGGCTGATAAGGAAGTTTTTCTGAAGCTGGGGAGGCTGGCATTAGAACATCTGGAGAAAGGAAAAATAATGTTCTACCAAGAAGACCTGGAAGAGTATGGTCTGGATGTCAAAGAGGCATTGGTGTACTCAGGAGTTTGTACAGAAATCTTCAAAAGAGAAAGTGTGATCCACCGGCAACCATTCTACTGCTTTGTTCATCTGGACATCCAGGAGTTTTTGGCTGCAGTCTACATGTACAATTGTTTCACCAACAGGAATACACAGGTTGTGAAGAACTTCCTGGGAGGAGAATACAGTGAAATGTCTCTGGAAGATTTCATTGGGGCAGCCATGAAAAAATCCTTCAGCAGTGAAAATGGCCACCTGGATCTGTTTGTTCGCTTCCTTCATGGCCTCACTGTTGAGTCCAACCAGAGACTCTTAGCAAGTATCCTCGGTCAGACAGAGAACAGTCCAGGAACCATCCAGAGAGTCATCAACAATCTTAAGAAGATGAATATTGATTTTATATCTCCAGAAAAAAGCTATAACATCTTTCACTGTTTGATGGAGATGAAGGATCTTTCAGTTAATCAGGAAATCCAGAAGTTCTTGAAATCAAAGAACAGATCACAAAAGGAGCTCTCTATGTTCCAGTGCTCAGCTCTGGCCTACATGCTGCAAATTTCAGAGGAGGTTCTGGATGAATTGGATCTGGCAGAGTACAATACAACAGAGAAGGGACGATGGAGACTGGTTCCAGTTGTGCGGAACTGCAGAAAGGCTCGGTGAGTATAGATGTCTTATGTTTTCCAAATAGTGCTGGCAGCAAGATAGGAGGTAGAAAAATTTGACTTTATGCTTTCTAGCTCTTTTATGTGACAATGTACCTAATAGAGAGAATGGGTGGGATTTGATCCCATAGACTGCTGGATGAAAGTCATGCACACCGACCAGTCAGCCAAAGGGATATGAGCCCAGCTGAGTAACCAGAATGCATCATGAATTTGAGGCATAGTGACAGGACCACACTGTCGCATCTCTCCCCTTTTTTCCACAAGTACATCCTCATGCGCCACTCAGGCTACCACCACCATTCTGGCACTATAGGTCCAATGAAGACGGGCATACACTGTATCAGTTTTTGCTGATTCTCCAGTCATGCAAGAACGTTTTTGATCGAGCTGAGTTTTAGCCTCATGGTGTGTCCTGCTTCGTGTAGTATACAAGGTGTAATGAGGGGTGATAAGCCTCTCACGACCACCTCTTGGTCAGGTATTGTAAAATCAGGTGATTATCAAACATCTTTCTTTTTTCAAATTCAGTCGGCCCTTGTGCAGTGTTTTTTGGCAAATCCTGCTGTTGAAGCAGAGCTACAACTGTCTACAAGCCACTTTACCAGAACCTCACACACTGTGCATGTGCAAACAGGGAAGTTCTTCTTCCAGATTGACAAGTCTGAGCGGTGACATCTATCGGCGCTAAGTCCAACGTGGGTTTTTTGGACGTACAGTGTGAGACGGTAGATAGTATAAGAATGTTGGGCCGCACAGAGAAAGAGCTTACATCATGAGCTGTGAACTTTTAAACCCTGCAGTTTTGCTGTACAGTTTGAGCTGTAGCGGACTACAAATATTGAAAATATTATACACTGTATGCCGGGCTTTGCTTTGTGCGCCACATGGAAATATGCACACATCCATATGTTTTAGGTTTAATACTGGAGAGCTTCGATACATTTATGTAAGTTTTTATAGTTCTATTGCAGAAGGCTGTAGTCCTAATTTGACAAGCATATTCATGTTTGTCAGTTTTCGTCAGAGCCCTTGTGGGGTTAACAGTAAGAACACTATCCAGGGTAGGAAAGGAAGTCCAGACTCTTACTGAATTGAGACATCCTTAGCTCTTAGACATGCCATTAAGGGATGAAAACGCACATTTTTATTAAATCTGTACCTCACCCTTTGAGAAAAGAACTACAAAATACACAACTGTAACAAGTGGCGAATGTGAACACAGACCTACTGTCCTTACTGATTTGCCCAATTTTTATTGACCTTTGAGAGGGTTTTGTGAAGACACCATTTGCTGCTTGTTCCTGTACGAGTAGTGAGTGGAATAAGTAGTGAAGGTTTCTATCCCTGACCTTCTTAATGTAGCAATGAATGTCTTTGATTTAATAAAAGTGAAACAAAGGTTCACTGTTTGATAATAGCTTCAGTTTTTCCTGCTCTGGCCATTGCTTGTTGCTCGAGTTCTTTGAGCTTTTCCCTGCAGTGCAGTGAGTGCCAACACCCATGGAAGGTCATTCTCTTCGAAACCTAGGCAAGCTCAGTTTCTTTCTCCCCATGTAGCAACTAACACTGAACGACTGATAACTCCCATAGCCTATTAATAAAAACAGTCTTTTTATGTCACATTGCAGATCTGTTCTTCTCTGTTCAGAACTGCTCAATGGAAGGGCTGATAATGCCAGGCAGCAGGCAGAAGAAAAACACAAATAGAAAGGCTTACAAAACAGACTGAGGGGGTGGAGCAGGTGGAAAAGGGGCTCAAACCATCGACTAAAGTCTGGCATTAGCTGAAGATAGTCAGTGTTGTGTCAAACACAGTAAACTGATCTGAAGAGCAGATGTGTTTACATATTGCATCACTATCAAATCATTGTATCCTAATCTTTTTTTATTGAATAGATTGAGAGTCTGATTTTTTTAAAAACTTGATCTTGTATTATTTCTTTAATCACAGACTTGTTGGGTGTACCCTCTCAGAGACTGAATGTGAAATTGTGGCCTCAGCTCTGAAGTCCAGCCCCTGCCACCTGAATGAGGTGGAAATAGGTGAGATTCATGTATGGAAAACCATTGGAGACTCTGAAATGAAGCATCTGTGTGAGATACTACTGAGTCCAGTCTGTAAACTGAAGATCCTGAGGTAAATTTTTCTCTATTTATCCAAGTAAAAGCGTTTACAGATACTTTGATATTTATTTTATTAACAAATGTATTTTTCCTAAAATTGTCTGCCGTCAAAATGTCAGATTTTTTTATTTAGAGCTTGAGAATATCTGTATTTTGCAGCTGTTCGGGACAGGTGTACAAAAATTTTGTCAAATTACTTGATTAAATAATTAAGATTCCGTAAAAGTTAAAAAAACAAAAAATCCACTGGACTTGCTTTCCAAGTTTTGAAGACATTTTGCTTCCCCTCCAGGAATGACAATGACCTGGGTGACTGGGAATCTTCATCAGCAAATAATTAATCTATTTTATAAAAGAAAAAAATAAATATGATTTATTTCTTCTTCGTCACCATTTAGATCAAGAATTTTTAACTTTCCAAGTTAAGCTTGGACCACAATGCAGAACCCCCCCAACATTTGAGTAATCATAATAATAGTATCATAATGATCAAGTATAGATAAAGACACATAGCAAAGCCCCTTTGCACCAACACTTAAAACCTTGACCAACGTTCACCATTCTTTTGCTTCACTTTTTATCTTCTCATTTGCCTTGTATCTGAGAAATGTCATCTAGAAAATAGGCGATTTCTCATCTCTATCATAGAGCTACTTGGATAAACCTAAACTCTTTCTCACCCATTCTCAAACTACCATTCCTATCAGACCAGAATCCTTTTGTGTTTAAGTTGCATTGTAACCAGAAGTAAATATTATACAGGTTGAAACATCACGATTTATGTACAAAATGTTTATATACTTTTTTTTTTTAAATATACCTTTATTTTGCATCACTCTGAAAGTTCAGTGGATGTCTGTTTTTTTTCTTCTAAATTGCTAATAAAGAGTGTTAAGTAAAAATTAGCTTCCAGTAAATTAGATGGGAATGTGTAAATTTGTAAAGAAACTTGCACTTTAACAGTCAAGATATTATTTTAGACATCCATCCATCCATCCATCCA